CCGCTGAGAGGACCCTTGATGCCCCAGAGTTGTTGGATGATTACTATTTGAATCTGTTGGATTGGAGTTGTGGCAATGTGTTGGCCATTGCCCTTGGGAACACAGTTTATCTATGGGATGGTTCAAATGGATCTACTTCTGAGCTAACAACCATTGATGAAGAAAATGGCCCTGTTACCTCTATCAATTGGGCACCTGATGGGAAGCATATAGCTGTTGGATTGAACAATTCTGATGTCCATCTCTGGGATGCAACTTCGACTAAACAGGTTCATGTTTATGCCAAAATATCTGTGCAAGCATGCATTGGTTCTTTCTGTGTGTGTGGGTGTGCGTGTGGGTGTGTTTTTGGGTTTCTGCATCTATTTTCATTATTGTTTTACCTATCGAGCAACCCACAGGATGGTCTACATGAAGAAACCATCTCAAACATCAAACTGAACTGTTAACTAACAAACCTCTCATGTGGGTTTCTACAGCTACGAACTCTAAGAGGTGGTCACCGTGGGCGAATTCCCTCTCTTGCATGGAATTCTCATATTCTCACTACTGGTGGCCATGACGGCCTCATTATCAACAACGATGTGAGAATTCGATCACACATTGTGGAAACTTACAGAGGCCACCAACAAGAAGTTTGTGGCCTCAAATGGTCTAATTCAGGCAAACAACTAGCAAGTGGAGGAAATGACAATATCCTCCATATTTGGGATCAAAGCTTATCTAATTCCAGCAACTCACCGCTGCATAGATTAGAGGACCATTTGGCGGCAGTTAAGGCATTGGCTTGGTGCCCATTTCAGAGCAATTTATTGGCTTCAGGTGGAGGTGGGGGTGATAGGTGTATCAAATTTTGGAATACACATACTGGAGCTTGCATAAATTCAGTGGATACAGGGTCTCAAGTGTGTTCATTGCTTTGGAGTAAGAATGAGAGAGAGTTGTTGAGCTCTCATGGGTTTACTCAGAACCAATTGACACTCTGGAAGTATCCATCTATGGTGAAGTTGGCTGAGCTTAATGGGCATACTTCTAGAGTTCTATTCATGGCCCAGGTATGAAATTTTTCATCTTGTGCCTTTTCAATTTCTGGCTTTAAGAATTAGTTGTTTTTCGTTTGTTTTTGTTTTTTTTTTTCCTTGAGAAAAGTTGTATGTTAAGTTTGTTGTTTCTATGCAGAGCCCAGATGGGTGTACAGTGGCCTCAGCTGGAGCTGATGAGACATTGAGATTTTGGCAAGTTTTTGGAGCTCCTGAACTCCTCAACAGCAAGCCTGAAGCTAAGACCTCATTTGGCCCATTCAGCAATATCAACCAAATCAGATGAGAGGGAGTAAAAGAGGGAGAAGGAGAACTATTATGATCAATTTCTATGCATGTCAGACTGATTGGACAGAGAAAGAGGTATACAAATTTGCACATCTCCTTTTTGTAATTTTGTCCCCTGTTTAATTGTATTGTTATGTGTATTGGTTTTAACGCCAAATGTTGTTTGGGGCATAGTTTTTATTTATTTCTCAATTATTCTTTTATGGCTCAGTAGGCATGCGAGAATTCCTGGATCAAAAAAATCAGTCAGTAGATAAGTGTGTGTTTGTTGCAATTTTTTTTATCATTATTGATTTTTATTTATATTTTATTGACTTGCTTTTTTCAATTTTTTTAATTGTCCTTTTGTGAGGTCTTTCAAGGCTCAGAAAAACAGCCAGCAGGGAGAAGACATGCATGAAAGAGATCCATGGAATCGGTCAGTAGAGAAAACAACTCTTTCTTTCAGTTTTTATCATTATCTTAATATTATTGATTCAATTCTCTCTTTCAGTTTTATCATTATTTTAATATTATTGATTGTTTGTTACATTTATTAACTTGTTCTCTTGTTTTTCCTGTCTTCTGTGAGCTCTTTTCAAAGCTTGGATCCACGATCAGTCAAGTCTGTATGAATGTATGAAAGAAGAGATGGATATACAATACGTTTCTCTATATATCACTCTGAAATCCACGATCAGTCAAGTCAGTATGAATGTATGAAAGAAGAGATGGATATACAATATGTTTCTATATTATCACTCTGAAATTCTCTTATCAGTCCCGTCCCAGAGTTTGACTTGTGCTGTGAGGTCTTTTCGAAGCTTGGATCCCAGGATCAGTCAAGTGTGTATGAATATATGAAAGAGATGGGTACAATATGTTTCTGAAGTTCTATATCAGTCTCAGCACCCGTAGTTTGACTTGTGCTCTGAGAGATGTATCAATAATGTGGAGAGGAAAATCGGAGAGAGGGGAAGAGATGTATTGTATAGATCGAGTTTTCTTCTGTTTTTTTCCTTTTGTCTTAAGTAGGTGAGGTCTTTTCAAAGCTTGGATCCACGATCAGTCAAGTCTGTATGAATGTATGAAAGAAGAGATGGATATACAATATGTTTCTATATTATCACTCTGAAATTCTCTATCAGTCCCGTCCCAAAGTTTGACTTGTGCTGTGAGGTCTTTTCGAAGCTTGGATCCCACAATCAGTCAAGTGTGTATGAATATATATGAAAGAGATGGGTACAATATGTTTCTGAAGTTCTATATCAGTCTCGGCACCCATAGTTTGACTTGTCGTCTGAGAGATGTATAAATAATGTAGAGAGGAAAATCGTAGAGAGGGGAAGAGATGTATTGTACCGATCGAGTTTTCTTCTGTTTTTTCCTTTTGCCTGGAGTAGGTGAAATTGGGTGATCCGATATGTCAATCATTGGACTGCCTTACTTAGGATTCACAAAAGTTAGGAACGGGAGAAAAAACCATGCAGTTCACCACTTTTGTAATGGTTTTCCCAAATGCGACAGCAGATACACTTTTGTAATAGTCTCCCTGGATGCACTAAACATCTATTTTGTAGATGAATGCTAACAAATGGTGTCCCCAACAAAAAACTCAAAATTGTCTATATATACTACTTTTTAAATATTTATATAAGGTATCAACCTTATAATAATGCACAAGTAAGGTGCACCCAAAATCGTAAAACCCTCAAAGTGATCTTCTCACCCTCGAGATTCATTTATGTGAAAGGTTTGATTGTCTGAACACTTTTTTCCTACATTTTTAAGAGTCTCTCTCTAATGGGATTCTTTCTACTTCAAGAGTCTCTCTAATTAGAGGGAATCTTGTCATATGTGTGAAAGTTTTGATTGTCTGAACCTGTTTCTGTAGTAAGTCTATCTCTAATGGGATTCTTTCTACTTCAAGAGTCTCTCTAATTAGAGGGAATCTTGTCATATGTGTGAAAGTTTTGATTGTCTGAACCTGTTTCTCTATTCCTACATTTTCAAGAGTCTCTCTAATAGGATTCTCTCTAATTCAAGAGTCTCTCTGATTAGAGAGAATCTTGTCCTAATTAATTAGAAAGAATCTTGTCCTTAATTAGAGTAGAAGGTATGGCTACCCTCGGAGTTAATTTGAGTGTTTTTAAGAGACCCATGACAAACTGGTCAAAATTAAATTTTGCAGCCCTTTTTGTTTTCTCTTCATACTTTTTCCAAAATGCCTGTACTTTCAACGTCGGAAGTGAAGCAATTTATGAAGGAAAATTGTTTCATGTTGCTTTCTCTTCATACTTTTTCCAAAATGCCTGTACTTTCAACGTCGGAAGTGAAGCAATTTTTGAAGGAAAATTGTTTCATGTGAGCTAGACAAGCATTTCTACAATATGGCCGTCCAGATGGATGCAAATAGGTGGTCCATCTAAAAACAAGTGTAACTAGCGGTCCAAATGTTTTTTTTAAAATGTCAGAAAAACATCTAATTGATCTTCTCGATGTGAAGAAAAAGATATTTCAAGTATAAAAATAATACGTCTTGCGAACATATTATCTAAACTATCCATTTTCAAGATTTCCATGCATTCATAGATCTGCTTGATTTGAACTATTTTTAATTTAAAATTTTATAGTTACATATAAAAATTAATTCTTACACCATCCTAAAAATTATCTCATGACAAATTTTGAAGGTGCACCTTAATTTGATTTGATTGTGAAAGTTGGAACCTCATGCAAATGACTTAACTTCTTATAGTGCAAAGAAGAAAAGATTCCATAACCAAGATTGATGGTTATAAACCTTGGTATTTCCTCGTCCCGGGCATGACTGAGAAAGAACAATGCATCTCGGTATTGAGGGTAGAAGTAGAACCCCGCCAGAGAGAGAGATCAATATTACAATAGTAAATGGCAAAAAGATAATAATCAGAGCGGCCATCAACTCTATAGTATGTCATATATCAACAAACCATATCTCATCTTTGAAGGTAGTTGATGAATTCCCAACCAATCATGTCATTTTTTTCTCAGCACAGAAGAAAATTCACATTTCTATTTTGTGGGTGAAATAAGTTTAACAGTCCATCACAAATGCTGTACAAATCAAATCCCGTCCACCGATCTATCTTCTTCCATTTTCAAACAAAAGAGCGCAGCTCTAAAGGCTCAATGATGTCCCTCAAACATGGTTGATAAAGAATATGAAATGATTGCAAGAAATGAGATATTTGCAGAGCCCAAACACACAGTCAGAGAGAGAGAGAGAGAGACCGTGCTGTATGGTAGATGGAGAAAACTTAAGAGAGCTTTTGGAAAGAGTGGGGATAGAAAAAAACTTAAAAAAGAGATTCCATACTTTAGGCGATTTATAAAGGTGAAGCCAATTGAGAATTTAAGTTTCCAATATTTTAAACATTTATAATCTCTAAATAAAGAAATACATAAAGTTATAGAATTCATATCATTGTCCTCATATTTCATTTACTTTGAATTTTAAATTTTTGTAACTAAGAAATCCAAATTAGAAACCAAGCTGTTAGCATGGTATGTGTGCATGTGTGTGTGCGTGTGCGTGTTCGTGTTCGTGTTCGTGTTCGTGTTCGTGTTCGCGTTCGCGTTCGCGTTCGCGTTCGCGTTCGTGTTCGCGTTCGTGTGCACATGTGTGTATGTGTGTGTGTGGGTCTCTCTCAGCAAACTATACAAAACTTTCATATGAAATACATATTCATATCCTTTTTTTCACAAATAAATTAGATATCTTAAAATAAGGACAAGAAACTCAAATTCAAGAATTTCCCAGATTCAACAATAGAATTTTACTACAGGAAAAGATTAAAAAAAACCAATCCAGTTGGACAACCTTGAAAGGAGAGGGAGAAGCAACACCTCATTTGTATATAGGAAAAACAAAAAAAAAATTTGTAGAATCCTAGTTGTTGAGAAATTCATGTATAACAAGAAGAGAGATTGAAAATTTGACAGAAATGAGTAAATGAAAGAAAACCAAGGGGCCTCGTTGCCTGCTATCAATACACGAATGGTCATCCCAGATTTTTGTAGCAGTAGTTCAAAATGAATAATAGGCACACCTCAAGAAAGGCCAGCTGACGAACAGCAAGAAAAAGTCAGGGAAACTGCTGCCTTCTGTTGTAGGTGTCCTCAGGTACAAACACAGGCTGAGTTGTCTGTGTCATGGCGATGGATTGATTGTTTTGGTTACCCCATGATTCATGAGTCTTCGATGAAGACAAGGAGACATAATAAATGATGCCCAGAGCAACACTAGATAGTGAGAGTATAGCCCCGCCGGAGAAAACCCCAGATTTCACCACAAAACAGTAGCCACCAAAATATGTACTTTCATCACCATGTTGATCGTTCAGAGCAGCGCCAGCAAGGAAGAGAAGAAAGGCTATCACAAAAGTGATCCTAAATTGGTATCGGAGGGAGAAAGAGTTAGACCATATTGAGTTGTCAACGAAAAATAATTGCAAGAGAGATAAACAGTTCAATCATTTTGACCCATCAACAAGAAAGTATATATAGCAAGAAGTACTAAATCCAGATTAAAAAAAAGAAAGCACCGAATTATAGCAAGACATCGAAAAAAGGAGTGATCACACACAAAAAGTACTAAATTATAGCAAGACATTGAAAAAAGGGAGTGATCACACACATACAGAGAGAGAGAGAGAGAGAGAGAGAGAGAGACGCACAGTGAATTGACAGTGGAGTGAGTAAGAGATACAGTTTATTCATCTTAAGGAGGCAGTCATGCTTTAAGCATGGCAAGCAACAGAAAGGCTATGAAAAAAAAGTCTTAAGTGTAAGAGACGAAACTCACTATGACACTGAGTTTCAGCAAGAGAAGTATTTTATCATAGATAAAAAATCAAAGAAGGGGTATAAGAGAGAGTAGCAGAACGCAATTACAGAGTTGTCTGGTTTTATTTTTCTCCTTTCCTTCTTCTGAAAGTGTTAACATTTGTATTAAAGGAGAAGAGAGTACGAGTGTACAAAGTTACACTGAGTTGTCGACAAGAGCAGGCATTTATGGTCAAGTATGGCAATCAATAAAAGGAAGCAATGGCAGAAACTACACGAAATTGTCATTGAAACTTATTTCCAAAATGTTATTAATCTATAAGATCAACATTTCCTTGTCAATTTTACCTGCAACTAGTAAACAGCATCTACCTCTTTCCATGTTCGATTGACATGGCCCATTTCGGGCTCGTGTCCTCCATGTCAAGTTTTAAGAATGACACACTGAAACTCCGACATACAAGTCAACTTGCTAAATATAGGGTGTACTACTCTAGAGAGCAAATTTTAAAATTAAATCCAAATTATCTACAGTTCTTTAAATATTGAAAGGTAGACCTGCCCTAAACATAGGGAAAAATAAAGACTTCCCTAGATAAAGTAGTACGCAATGGAAAAGAAAAGCTTCCAAAATACCTTACCTTGATAAAAAGTCAAGAACAAAATACCTAGTTAGAAGTAGAAGACGAAATGATGGATAAGTTATTTAAGCTACTTAAGAAAGACAAGTAAGAGCATTACTGCCATGGGCACGAACTCCTTCCCCCCTACACTAACGGACCCACCACTCACACTTACACACACAAACAAACAAACAAAAAAAGTCAAATATATAGTTACTCGAATTGCCTATGAGGGTAGCGATTCCATTTCGGAATCTCAATTCGGCATTTCCCCGAGCGAAAGTCGATTCTAAAAAAAAGGAATCACGTTTCCATTTTTTACAGAATGCGATTCCACGTAGTTTAGGAATCTCGATTCCTGGTTTGCCGGAATCAAGATTCCATATCAAAGACTTTGTGATTCTTAGCTACACAAGAACGCGATTCTGCTTGTGAAAAACGTTGATGCCAAATTTTTTGGAATTGCAAATCCATGTTGTTTGGAATCAAGTTTCTATATCGCAGACATCGTGATTCTTTGCCACACAACAATGCGATTCTACTTATGTTAAACGTTGATTCAAAGAATTAAGGAATTGTGAATCCATGTTGTCAGGAAGCAATGAGAGCATAGGGAGAGCAGAAACCCTTCGATGTGTGCTCAATCATAAGTGAGCGCGACATGTATGAGAGCATGAGAGAATTTAAAGTTGTTGCACACGGCAATAAAATCAAAATTTAAAATATAAGTAATATGTTAAAGTTTTATTTTTTTATTTACTAATTTCCATCCTTCATTCCATGTTACTTTTTAAGAACTCTTACCAAGAATAAATAATACTAAAAAAATATATTACTTCAAATTTAATAATGTTTGGTAAATGGTGTGGGTACTAAACTACTAATGTAATAATGTTTAATATATGCTCGGCACCATCATTTCTTCAAGTTGAATACGTGGATAAAAATGGTTTTCTTTAAGTAAAATAAGAAGATAATAAGGATATGAGCAAAGTGCCCTGTGTGGTATTTTAGGTTAAATTAATCATTAAATATCAGAGAAAATGACTACAAATTGAATAACTCAATTTTTCAAAAGTCAAAATACTCAAAACTACATTTAACAAAGAAGAATTACTATGTCATGTACTTATTTTATAATTCAAGGAAAGGAGATAAAGGGAGCTTGTCCTTGTTCTCACTCCTTGTATGTCGTAGACTAGCTCCAGACCTTGTAGGAATAATAGGGTTATCGGTAAACCGAGTTCATTGTATAAGATTGTCCACAAATATATCATAAAGGTTGATATTAATACTTGGAGTCTTGGATTGAGTATATACATATCAAAATTCGATCTTGTAGTAATAGTAAATTTATATATTTTCTGAATACTTCTCTTATGTACCGGAGGGTATTGGTTCGCAATTCTAGTAAGGGGAGAATCTCGATTCCAATATGGGGAGAATCACGATTCTAGAATGGTGAGAATATTAATTCTAAGTTGATAGGGACAACGATTCTAGAATTTTAGGAATAACGATTCCATATTTTTAGGAATCACGATTCTATCAATCACCGAAATAAGTGAGGTCATGTGTGACTCCATATACATATGAAACGCGATTCCAAGATGAAGGGACATCGATTCTTACAAATAGGACACACGATTCTTAATTTTTGAATCACGATTCTGAATTAGTGAGAATCATTTTCTCAAATCCGAATCGTACGGACAACGATTCCTAGATTCCGAAACTTCTGATACATGCGATTCTGCGATTCCAATTCCATAAACGATTCAGAATCATAGATGTTTCCAACAACTATAGTCAAATATTCCTCAAAAAACAGAAAGACAAATAATTAAGGAATGAAGATAGGCTATAAGGTATCATGTGTAGAAAAAAGGATCAGTATGGTATGATCCACATGATGACGACAACTATGACATCAAAATCATAACATACAATCCATGAAGAAGTTTAACAGTGGAGAGTTGATTAATGAAATTGTAGGCACGACTGATCTCAAACTATCACTGCCTCACCTATTATTGATTGGATGGTGACAACCCTTATTATTGATAAAAAGAAAAGGAACTTCTCTATATCCAATATTTATGGATTGAAAAGTAGCACATCTCCATATTTGAATACATGATAATTTACTTTATGATATATCCTATAATTTTAATTCATATTTTATCGTTTTCAAGTGAAATTTTCAATTAAAGTAAAAAATTACATTAATAAGTTTCTAATAGTTTGCTAATATGAACAAGCCCTTCAATAATATCTTGCTAACCTGTTCCACCAATAACATCCCATATTTTACTAACCTAGGACATAAGAACCTCTCACTAACCTAAGACATAAGCACCCCTAAATCAATATTTTTCAACTTCATGCTTATAGTAACTAGAAAACTTTTAATTCTCTCGTAGATTGTTTATATCTTTCTCTTTTTCAACTTTTCTTACTTTTTTCGTATTTACATACCCGAACAGACATGTTGGGCCCTTTTGGGTTTTAAGGTCATTGTGTCAGACACCTTTTACAACTTTTTGTAGTTTGACATCTATAACACCGCCTATAACTTAAACCATTTGTATTCACACTAACCATTCAAACTCATGATCTCGGGCACGGGTCTCAGTCCCTGACCAAGCCTATTAACTCAGAGGAGTCCTAGTGGACACAACCAAGTCATGTGCAGAAGCCCAAAAAAGGCGATTTTTTTAAAAAAGAAGTCTAAAAATAAAAATAAAATCCATAAAAAGCAAATTAAACAAATAACAACATTAAAAGTCTAAAAAGGATGGAAAAAATCATATAAAAATTTGAATACGGAAAAAATTGATTTATAGGTAGAAACAATTCAAAAAAATCCAAAAAATGGGAAAATAGAAAAATAGAGCATATGATAAGAAAAACCCACAAATCATCATCAAAAACATCAAAATTATATGACCATATTTATATACTGATTTAGTAAAAAACTATATTTTATTTAATATATATTCCTAGTTTGTAACCAGGACTCATCTCGCTAAGGTGCTGAGGCTGTGTAACTTGGCCAAGTTTTAAAACTTAGGGTAAGCTCAACTTTAAAAGTTATAACGGTAATAACAGACTATCATCAACTAGAAAAGTATTAAGATCACCTGAAAATGCCAAATACCATACATTAATCAAGCGCGATGTTAGATTCTTTATTACACGGAATTTCAGCCCAAGAACACAAACCAAATGTCCAAATAGGGATAATCCCTAACTTTATGTAAAAATTCAAATTAATAACTTTATTGTTTTAACATGGAAATATGAAAACTATAACATCTATAAAATGATAAAAGACACGATTTGTCCATTCTAACAAACGTCCTCCCCCTTCTCCACCCCCCACCTCTTTCCTTATGCCCCACTCTCCACTAAACTCTGCGAAGAAAGGAAAGCAGAAGTGCAAAACCAATAGCATTCACAACAAACCCCATAAGCTCTAAACCTTGAGGCTTAACAGAATTTTTCAAAGGTCATTTGCGTATTTGAAAGACATTCTAAGGCTGGTCTCAGGGCATCCAAGTCAAGAGAAAGAAATTGTGCACTATGGTCTTCCCCTATAACAATGTGCTAACTAAAATAAGCTATATATGGAATTATGAGCACCACACAAGGCATGCTAAGGGGCTGTCTTAAGTGTTCTAGGTCTCAAGCATTTAAAGTTTATGCCCAAGCTACTAAACAAAGGTAATTCAACAATTGGACGTGATTAAACGAAAATGGTCGTTATAATGGGGCAATTATGAGGCCTGCACTAAATTCTAACTGTAGTGTTGTAATTCTTGTGTAAGCTAGACACAGCCCTTTGTATTAGTAGATGAAGATTAGTCCTGTGCATGCTATTTTACTGCCAAAAAAAAAAAAAGGAAGTATATGAACTCCCAACTTTACATGTCACTGGTCACCCAGCCAGTTAAACCCAACCCATCCTGTCTTCAAATA